TTGGTTGGGCGACTGCCTTCGGCTCAGGTCATGATCCTGGATCGAGTCCCACATCAGGCTCCCTGCTCGGCAGGGTCTGCTTCTCCCTCTGACCCTCCCCCCTCTCATGTGCGCGCTCTTTCTCTCTCTCTCTCTCTCTCTCTCTCATTCTGTCTCAAATAAATAAAATCTTAAAAAAAAAATCCCAATTTCCAACAAGTTAAAAACTTAAAAAAAAAAAGCATTTGGAATCAACTTAATAGGGTAAAAGAATATTCCATAGGGGCACCTGGGTGGCTCAGTCATTAAGCATCTGCCTTCAGCTCAGGTCATGATCTCAGGGTCCTGGGATCGAGCCCCCAACGGGCTCCCTGCTCTGCAGGGAGCCTGCTTCTCCCTCTCCCACTCCCCCTGCTTGTGTTCCCTCTCTCGCTGTCTTTCTCTGTCAAATAAAGTCTTAAAAAAAAAAAAAAGAATATTCTATAAAGACTGAGGTGCTATACTTTTGCCATGGGAGGGCGCAGTGGGGAACACGAAAACTGCATTTACAGTAGTGCCCCAAACCACTGGACATCAACTATGTTTCCATCAACTATGTTTCCATTTACATGTTCACTCAGCACTCAAGACAAGCTCAGCTTCCAGAAAAGGTTACAGCTAAAAGCTCTAAGAGGTATTCTCAAAGCGACTGAGGAAAAATTAAGAAATAAGATAGCTTTAATTGACAGAAAGAATCATTATATAATTGTTTAAAAAAAAGCACTACTTTCATAATTTTAAAGTTAAGTTGCCTATCCAAATCCTTTAAAACAGGAATTCTTTCTTTTTTTTAAAGATTTTATTTATTTATTTGAGAGAGAGAATGAGAGAGAGAGCACGAGAGGGAAGAGGGTCAGAGGGAGAAGCAGACTCCCCGCTGAGCAGGGAGCCTGATGTGGGACTCGATCCCGGGACTCCAGGATCATGACCTGTGCCAAAGGCAGTCGCTTAACCAACTGAGCCACCCAGGTGCCCTAAAACAGGAATTCTTAACCTGTCAGTTAACCCTCTGAAAATGTATACAAACTAGTTTATATGTGCCAATGTTTTCCCAAAGAAAATTGTTTCTCAAAAGGATCCATATAACAACAAGACTAAGAATCACTTTCTTAAAAACAATTGTTTCAACTATATCTTAAGAATCAGAGTCACAGGGGCACCTGGGTGGCTCAGTCATTAAGTGTCTGCCTTCAGCTCAGGTCATGGTCTCAGGGTCCTGGGATCGAGCCCCACATCGGGCTCCCTGCTCTGCGGGAGGCCTGCTTCTCCCTCTCCCACTCCCCTTGCTTGTGTTCCTGCTCTCGCTATCTCTCTCTCTCTGTCAAATAAATAAAATCTTTAAAAAAAAAAAAAAAAAAGAATCAGAGTCACAAAATGGAGTATGCTATTGCCAGGCCCAAAGGTTAAGTTTGGTAGGGTTTTGGTTGTTTTTGGGGGGTGGACCGGGGGGGGGGGCCAGAAAATAGATTCATTTATTCTAGAACAAATGAAAGTAATACATATTCATTATTTTTTAAAACTATTCAAGAGTTTCTATTTTTTTAAGAGTTTCTTTAATATAAATCAAACTGTTAAGTCTGATAAGCTTCAATTAAGGAAAACTTTTAGTATATAACAAATACTTTTCTAAATTAGAAGTCTGAAGTTTTCTAAAAATGGAAAAACCTTATTTCACTCTCACCAGATTACTGAATAAAATCAAAACTACGAAAAGTTACCTGTAATATTTTAAGTTTTCTGTATCATTTGAACTGTTATGTTATGAACATCATGCAACACTTTTTTTTTTTAAGTAATCTCTCCACCCCACATGGGCCTCGAACTCACAACCCAGAGATCAAGCGTCACATGCTCTACCAACTACTGTGACAGCCAGGCACCCCTAGACACACTTTCTGATCTCTAGACTCACTGTTACCATGCTTTCAGATAAATAATGCAGGTGCTCCAAGTAGTTCTATACCAAAGCACCATACTGAATTATGATCACTAGCAGGAGTTGTTTGAAAAGATACTGCTTTTTAAATGAATGGGGTGAACTTAAGTCATCATTAACTGCTCACTTGATCAACAATTTATTCATCCAATATCATAAAATTCCAACTTGCTCCACAGTAGCAAAATTAAGTTCAGAGGTGTTCTCTTTTCCAAGCCATCTCCTACTTTGTGTTTTGTAATGATTGCTCCCTAGAGGAAAAAGTAGAAGCAGCAAAGACGTTCACTCGCTAAGTCTAAGAGATCAAGAAACTGGACAAAAAGATGGTATAATATCCAGAAAAACAGGCACAAGAAACTACCTTTACCCATCATACATGCCACCCCGAAACCCGACAGCTAAGAAACACACAACTCAAGATATTTTTTTTGAGATATTTAAAAAACAAAAGATGAATCGAAAAAAATTTGTGAAATACAAGTCTCACCAGTCTCTACCACAACAGATGCCATAGTCAGACTGGAGCCAATTATTTCATGGTGAAAAAGATCAATAAAAAGCCTATTAATATGTAAAAGTAAAGGAGTCACACTATGAAAAATGTAAAGAATGATTGGCTGTCCCACTGCCTTCAGAAACTATTATGTAAAATAGAGAAAAGAATTTAACTTGAAAATAAATTATACTAAATGTTCAAGAACTATCATTTGATATGGGAGAATAGTGGTTGAAAAAGGTCTGTGCCAACTTTTAACTGCAGCTGTAGTGGAACACACTAAAAGCCTTGTTTTATGACAAAAGCAGTGAAATAAAAAACAATGGCTTTAGACTTATCACCAGTGTTAACTGCTCATGACCATAAATTTGCTTTTTTCCAACAAAAGACTTTTGGGATAAAAGGCCATATGATAAGGAATAAAACAAGACTGACAGAATTCTCAAATACTAAAACATAAAACCTAAGAATTTTCATACATTTTTAAATGTCATAATTAAAGGTAGAAATATTGGGGTGCCTGGGCGGCTTAGTTGGTTACGCATCTGCCTTTGGCTCGGGTCATGATCTCAGGGTCCTGGCATTGAGCCCTGCGTTGGTCTCCCTGCTCAGCAGGGCGTCTGCTTCTCCCTCTCTCTTCCCCTCCCCACCGCTCGTGCTCGTGCTCATGCGCTCTCTCTCAAATAAAATCTTTAAAAGATAAAATAAAGGTAAAAAGATTAAGAAATCTAACATATACAATGAAATTCAACCATTCTTTCTTAGTAGGACTGAAATTACAAAGCATTTAACTGAAATCAATGTTTGCCACTGTAGAGAATCCTCTTCCCATACTACCTGTTTCAAACTGAGAGGATTCTCCAGTCCTTTTCCTGCTACTTAAGCAAAAATACTACAATTTGCAACCCATTATTTCCTTTCACATAACTTTTTTTAAAACACTGAAGTGGAGATTATTCTAATTAGTACCCATTCACCTTGACTCTCAATTGTCCCAAACAATGACATTTTATGGAAATTAAACTTTAAGTCACTAAAGTTAGCTGGTAGACACAGCAATACTTTCTCCAATTTGTCACTAACAACTTGTACGTTAACATCTGCATCTAAAAGGTGCAGTGTATGGTGACCACGAGAGATTAAGCATATAGTTGGTAAGAGAACTGCTCTTACACAGTATTCTAAAAATGTGCTTTTATTAGGCATTCACTGACTATCACAGGAATAAATATTAAACATCCCCCGTCAATTCTTCACATTTTCTACAAAGTTGACCCAATTTCAAAGCTGACACTGACGGTTCTACCTTTAGAAAGATAGAAAAACAAAACTGGGTAGTCCTAAAAATGTACATCATAACTACATGACTAAGATACTCATTTAAAACTTATGCCAAGATAGCCCCTCCCTTCAAAACAAACTAAGATTGACTCACTGCTCTATTTTACTTACTTTTGGAAATAAAATTAAATGGATTCCCTAGCACTAATTTCCTGTCTCTGCCTCCACCATTTAAAACACTGCACCTTCAATCTATGATTCGTCCTTACAAAAATAGTAAAATAAAAACAAAAACAAACTCTCAATATCGCCAAGTTATCTTAAAATTTAAAAAAAGAAATGGAGTAAAAAAAAAAAAAGAAAACCACTGGATTCAAGAATGATAATAACCACTGTTCAAAACCCTCTCACCTCAGATGATACTTTTCATCTGTAAGACCACCCCATTTGCTAGAGCTAACCTGAGTAAAACGTTTCACTTCTGTCTCCCTGAAGTGGGAAACTATCAATCTCCCTAAATAACATGTTCCACTGTCTGCAGATATTTCTACATGTAGGGGGGGGAAAAGCCAGCAAAGTTGGTGGCAGGGTGAGGACAAAGGGCATTTTGAAATACCACTGAAGTAAACAGAGAATGAGAACAGAAAGGGGGCTAAATTAGCGTTCCCTCAAGTGGAGAAAGGCAAGGAAACGCAGGCACCCTTGTTTACCACTCCTAGGGTCCTATTCATTACCGCCCGCTGGAATGCGAAGTTGGAACCACCACCACGCAAGAAGCCCATCAAATCCTCAAAGTGTCAGGTCACTAGGCAGCCTCTGGAATGACAGGCTAATACCCTTCCCCCACCCTCAGCCCCCAAAAAAGAAAGATCCAATCCACTAAGTGCAGGTCACTCTGCCCTCTGGGGCAGTTCCAGCCGGCGCGGGGATGGTTCTGATGGGAAGATGAGAAAGGAAAGACCACCTTTCTTCCCACACACCCTCAGCTGGGGGAAACAAAACAAAGACAGCCCTCCTCCGCCGGTAGCCACTACCGTAGCCAGAGAGACTTTCCTATTTCCCGGTGCAGTCTGGCCTCCAGCCCCCGCCCCCATGACAAAGAAAAGGCACTTGGTGAGCAAGGCCTTCCTGCTTCCACGGATGGGGGGAGGGGGCTGCCGAGGTGAGGAGCCCCCTCTACACACTCGCGCTCACACTCTTGGCCCCGCAAGCGGCGGGGAGCGGAGGCCTCCGCCTGGGGAAGCCTGGTCTGGGAGGGGGTAGGGGTACCTTGAAGTAGCCGCCTTCGTAGAGGGTGTTGGGGGGTCCGAAGATGGCAACCTCCCAGTTGTAGAGGTCGGACTCATCCACCAGGGTGATCCGGAAGCCCTCCACCGGCTCCTCCTGCAGGGATTTCAGCTCGAGCATCAGGGCTTTCTGCGAGCTGGTCATCTGCTGCTGGGCCATCGCGGCGGCGGCGGCGGCGCCGGGCCGGAGCCCCAGTCCTCTCGCACCGGCCGGGCCGGACGAGGCCCCTCCCCTCCGCTCGCCCTCCGCCGGGCCGCACCGGGCCTCTGTCTTTACACACCCGGCGGGCCGGACCAGGCCCCAGACGGCCCGTGGGCCAGCCCGGGTCCTCCTTCACACACGACGCGGGCCGGGCCGGGCCCTTTTCCTCACACTCGGGCCAGGTGGGGGGAGGGGCTGAGGGAGTTAGGGGAATTCGCTCCCGGTCCCGGGCCTCCCCCCCCCGGAGGGGGCCTCAACTTGACGGGGGGGGGGGGGGGGGGGGGGGGGAGGGGGGGGGGGGGCCGAAGGGCGCGCGGGGGGGGGGGGGGGGGGGCGCGCGGCGCGCGGGGGTCTCGCGGCGGTGGCGGTGGCGGTGGCGGCGGCGGCGGCTGCGCGGGGGGAGGGGCGACGACGGAGGAGGAGGAGAAGAGCGAGAGCGCCTCGCGCCGCGGGAGCGACGGAGCCAAGAAGAAGAAGGGAGGGAGAGAGGGAGGAGGGGCGCGCGCCGGGAGGGAGGGCGGCTCTCGGAGGCGGGCGGCCAGACGCGCGTGCGCACGCCCCTCCCTCCCCCGCCCTCCTCTCCTTCCCCCGCCCTCCTCCTCTCACTTCCCCGCCTCCTTTCCGCCACCCGGCGCGGTGGCGGCGCTTTGTGACGCCGACGCGTGTCCCCCGCCCTTAAAGGGCCAAGCTGCTGTGGGGGCCGAGGGCAGCCACAGGGGGTGCCCTTGGCCCCAAAATGACGGTTGTGCGGCTGAACGTCGCGGTTGCTTGGGAGCTCCCGGGAAGGGACCGCTGGTCCTAGAGCTGTCAGCGCCTTCCCTTCCTCTCCCTATGTGTGGGTGTCCACAGGCTTCCACAGCCATCCTCCGTCGAACCCTGGTCCTCTGCAGACCCCTCCCCGTGACACAAAGTCCGCCGTCCCTGCACTCAGTAGGTGCTTGACAAGAATATGCTGAGTTTATGAGTCTTATCGTGGGAACAAGTGTCCCGACATTCCTCGTGCAGGGCCCTCAAGCCTGTGTGTTCTTGGCAGTGTGTCACCCACAGGGGTGGGGTGGGGTGGGGTGGGGGAGATGATTCCTATCCGAGAAATGGGGAAGGCAGATGGGCCATCTTCTACTTCTCTTCTTAACTACAAAGAGGAAGTTGTGGGAAATAAAGAGGGAAGTAGTAACGCAGACTAAACCTGGGTTCCTGGCCCTTCCCTGTGATTTGGGGCAAGTGCTCTGGCTATCCCTCAGTTATTTGTAAAATGAAGTACTATCGGGGCACCTGGCTGGCTCAGTCCGTGAGCATGCGACCCTTGATCTCGGGGTTGTGAGTTCAAGCCCTACCCTGTGTGTAGAGATTACTTAAAAATAAAATCTTAAAAAAAAAAAAAAATACTATGGTTGAACTTTGACCCCCTATAGATCCTTTCAGCTTGAAGGTCCGACCTGGAACTGAGGGACTTTTAAGATAATCATAACTGAAGTGAGATGCGGAGACAGTCTTTTTTTTTTTTTTTTTTAAGATTTTATTTATTTATTTGACAGAGAGAGACAGTGAGAGCAGGAACACAAGCAGGGGGAGTGGGAGAGGGAGAAGCAAGCTTCCCGCTGAGCGGGGAGCTCGATGTTGGGCTCGATCCCAGAACCCTGGGATCATGACCTGAGCCGAAGGCAGACGCTTAACGACTGAGCCACCCAGGCGCCCGCGGAGACAGTCTTAAATCCTCATGATTTAGAATAACCCATTCTCTTGGAAAGGCATGTCCTGTGGCAACTGCTGAAACGTTTCCTAGAAAAGTGAGGATACTATCAGAGTTCCACACATTTAGAATTTTGAGATCAAAAAGATCCTAAGTTCCAACCCTGGCTCCACCATTTACATTATCCATTCCTTATTCATCAGCTTCTGTAATAAAGGGTTAATTACACCTAACTTAAACTATTGTAAATATTAAATGAGATCATCTATATACAGCATTTGACACAATGACTAGCACATGGTAAATGATCCATAAATAGGAACTTTAAAGAAAAAAAATTGAAGGCATAGCTGTGTTCTGGCTACCACCCCCTCAACCATTCTGACTTCCCTTCCTCTACCATTCAATTTAGGGACAAGAAGATTGCTGACCTGGAAACGTGGGAGATGATGTTGACACCTTTAATAACAAGGATGTGAGTAGACAAATAGGCAGAAAGTTCATCTTCAAAGCATTTCACCCTCATTAACTCATCACAGTCCCACCCTGCCCCAGAAGATGGTAGATCCCTAGCCTAACCCACTGTAACATACACCTGACAACCAGACCAGAAGCTGCTCACTGAGTTTAAATAAACTCATAAAGTCATAGTAAATATCTGCAATGACCATGGCCCTAAGGTAGATGGCTAACAAACATATATCTGTCTAGAGGGCTCATAGCCTAATGTGATAATGAGGTGTGTACTAAGGTTCTCCATTCTCAGGTCAGAGGAAGTCTAGAATTTGTCTCATGCCTTTTTATCCTAGCAGGTAAGACATGGTTTATTAGCAGGTTGCAACTGTGTCTTATTCAGGCCTGGATCTGCAGCAACCAGCACATTGTTTGACACAAAGTAGACACTAAGTAATTATTCTCATGGGCTTACAGCCAAGAGCAGGAAAACAATCAGTAACAGCAACAAATTGAACCCCACCCTCCACCCCCATGTCTAATAGGACCTCTCAGACACACAGTAGGTGCTCAAGATTATAAATTCCATAAGGATGACAGGTCTTGTTTATACAAGCTTCTGGTTTATATACAAGCTACTACGATGTTTGGCACGTTGTAGGTACTCAAAATATACTTGTCAAAAGAATGAATGGCAGAAACGGCTTCCTACAGCTTTCCCATAGTGTGGGAAAGGTAAAATGACAGGTAAAATGACTTGACTGATTGGTGCCCTCTGGTGGTAAAGGGAACAGGCCACTTACCCTCAGTCTGTACCGCATCACCTGGTACTCTTCAACCAGGGCTCTTTTTTTTTTAAGATTTTTATTTGAGAGAGAGAGAGAGAGGGAGCACACAGCAGGGGGAGGGGCAGAGGGAGAGGGAGAAGCAGTCTCCCCTCTGAGCAAGGAAGCCCGACGTAGGGCTCGATCCCAAAACCCTGAAGCAGACGTTTAACCAACTGAGCCACCCAGGCGCCCCTCAACCAGGGCTCTTCTGAAGAATTGATTCTTTCTTCCAAAGAGAAAAGATATGGAAATCTTGAAAGATAAATGAGAGGGCGCCTGGGTGGCTCAGTCGTTAAGCGTCTGCCTTCGGCTCAGGTCGTGATCCCAGGGTCCTGGGATTGAGCCCCACATCGGGCTCCCTGCTCTGTGGGGAAGCCTGCTTCTCCCTCTCCTACTCCCCCTGCTCGTGTTCCCTCTCTCGCTATCTCTCTCTCTGTCAAATAAATAAAATCTTTTTGTTTTTTTAAAGAAAGATAAATGAGAAATAGGAGTGTTTGTTTTAGAGAGGTTAATTCTGACCTTCTAGAATGACTCCTTTTAGGGGACAAACTTTTTTTTTCATTCTGTGTATGTTAACACATGTAAGTCAACTAGTGCTCTTAAGGAGCCACAATCTTTCTTTAATAGTAATAGCTAACATTTGTTGTGCATCAGTATGTGACAGGCCCTTTACAAGCAGTATCCTGTTTAATTGTCAAAAAATGCATGACATCCATACTAGAGTATCTGTTTTCCTGAGTATAAGATTTATTTTTGTTTGTTTGTTTATTTATTTATTTGAGAGAGAAACAGCATGAGAGGGGAGGGGGTGAAAGGGAGAAGCAGGCTCCCCACTCAGCCAGGAGCCCAATGTGGGACTCGATCCCGGGACTCCCAGATCATGACCTGAGCCAAAGGCAGTAGCTTAACCAACTGAGCCACCCAGGCGCCCTGAGTACTATAAGATTTAGAAAGGTTAAGAAAGTTACCAAGGTGGGCGCCTGGGTGGCGCAGTCGTTAAGCGTCTGCCTTCGGCTCAGGTCGTGATCCCAGGGTCCTGGGATAGAGCCCCACATCGGGCTCCCTGCTCAGCGGGAAGCCTGCTTCTCCTACTCCCACTCCCCCTGCTTGTGTTCCTGCTCTCGCTGTCTCTCTCTGTCAAATAAATAAAAAAAAATCTTTTTTTTTTTTTAAAGATTTTATTTATTTATTTGAGAGAGGGAGAATGAGAGATAGAGAGCACGAGAGGGAAGAGGGTCAGAGGGAGAAGCAGACTCCCTGCCGAGCAGGGAGCCTGATGTGGGACTCGATCCCGGGACTCCAGGATCATGACCTGAGCCGAAGGCAGTCGCTTAACCAACTGAGCCACCCAGGTGCCCCTAAAAAAAAATCTTAAAAAAAAAAAAAAAGAAAGAAAGTTACCAAGGTCACCCAGTGGGTAAATGTTAGAACCTGGAGTTGAATCTTGGGCATCCCACTTAAGCATGACTGCTCTTAATCGAAGTACTGTAATATTCCTAATCTAACATGCCCATAGCAATCCATGCATATCATATCATCTCCAATGCTATACTGCAATTATTTGTTTACATCTTTCTCCCAGACTCTGAGGTACTCTTAAGAAAGAGCCATTCATTCATTCAACAAATATTTATTGAGTGCCTGCTATGTGACAGGCCCTATGCTAAATGCCAAGGATACAGTAGTGAATGAGATGGAAATGATTTAGTCATGCCCTCGTGGAGCTTACATTCTAGTGGCTGAGACTGAATCACACAAAAACAAGTAACTACTAGATAAATAATATCATTGCAAGTTTTGGTGAATACTAGGGGAGGTGATTAAAGTAGGGCCTAAAACTGAAAATGTTGGAGTGGATGCAATTTTTTTAAAAAGATTTTATTTTACTTATTTATTGGGGGGGCATAGGGAGACAGCAGGCTCCATGCCCAGCATGGAGCCCATCACAGGGCTCGATCTCACAACCCTGAGATCATGACCTGAGCCAAAATCAAGAGTTGGATATTTAACCAACTGAGCTACCCAGGTGTCCATTAAGATTTTATTTTTAGGGTGCCTGGATGGCTCAGTTGGTTAAGCGACTGCCTTCACCTCAGGTCACAATCCTGGAGTCCCGGGATCGAGTCCCACATCGAGTCCCACATCGGGCTCCCTGCTCAGCAGGGAGTCTGCTTCTCCCTCTGACCCTCCTCCCTCTCGTGCTCTCTATCTCTCATTCTCTCTCTCTCAAATAAATAAAATCTAAAAAAAAAAAAATTTTATTTTTAAGTAATCACTACAGCCAATGTCAGCTCAAACTCACA